TCCCTTTTGCAGCCCCCCCTTCAAGCCCCCCTTCCGGCCCCCCTTGCAGCCCCCCCTTCAATGTTAGATTGCATGGTCAATTCTCCAGCTCATATTGGCTACGGACACATCAATGCCTGAACCATGGCATTGGCTCAAGACTGGCTCATTGGATCCAGACAAAAGTCTGAAGACCGAGTGATTGCATTCTGAAGCAGATTGAGATTTTCTGTTGATTGTTGTTTGCTGATTTATTCCATACTCCTGGCACATCTCGAAACGATCACGGAATTTTTCATGGTAGCGGAGCCCTGCGGCGAAGCCCAGGGAACTGATTGTCTTCAGAGTAATTCTGTAGCGATGAACATTGAGCTCGGTTGCGCGAGAAGGATGATGCAATTGGAACCTCCCGCACCATTCGCAGGAGACAAGGAAAGCTGGGAAGATTGGAACTGGCAGTTGAGACTCTACGTAGGAATTCATTGTCCATTGGCTGTGACCATTCTGGACACTGCATTGGCGTTGGACATTCCAGTAGATGATTCGTTCATCAGTTCATTCTCAAGTCAAGATTCTCCAGAAGAAAGATTGCTTGAATTTTCCAGTGAATTGCATTATCTGATTGCGAGGACTACAAAGGGGCATGCAGGAAGTATTGTCCGCGCTTGTGAACAGGGTAACGGATTGGAAGCTTGGAGATTGTTGCACGAACGCTATTGGATTTCCCACAGACACAAAGGCATGGAAACATTGAGCCAAATTTTTCTTTATCATTTTCGGAAAGATTTCTTCGCAGAAGATTTCGCAGACTTTATTGTCTTGAAGAAGAGATATGAGGAGACAGGTGGAGATGCATTGAGTGAAGATGTTCTTGTCGCATTGCTTGTGAGCAAGACTGAGGAAGCATTGTCAGGCTTTCTCCGATTGCATCAGGACGCGCTTGGAACATTCGATCAGGTCACTGACTTAGTCAGGAGACATTGTAGGCTCTGCCGATTTTCATCAGGAAGATTGATTCAGTCGGCATCTCAGCATCAGTTGCTGCGGATGATTGTTGATGAGCAAGAAGCGAGAGATTCTGAGAGAGAGAGAAAGATTGAAAGGATGAAGGAAGAAGGAAGATTTCGAGGATTCACTGAAAAGACGTTGGAACGCATTGAGGAGTCGAAGTTGAACGGAAGCAAAAGAGGAAAGGAAAGGAAGATTGAGGAAGGAACGAAGACTGGTAAGAGAGGCGATGGAAACGAGGAACAAGAGTTAAAGGAGATTGTGGACATTGAGAAAGCACAGGAAATTGGAAAAGGAAGGAAAGAAAGAACTGCGGAAGAAGAAAGGAATGAAAGGATTGAGGAAAAGGAACGCATTCGATTCGGAGATGAAGAGAACCACGACAGGAGAAGGAAAAAGAAAGATGAACGTAAGCAGGAAAAGGAAAAGGAGAAAAGGGAGAACGGAAATGAGGAGAAGAAGGAAGAAGATAAAGAAGAGTGCGGCATCGAAGAGGATTCGACGGATTGCGCAAGTGAGGACACGTGGTATTGCGGTATGAAAGAAGGAAGAAAAGAAAGAAGTGAAGAAGAAGAAGAGAGATCAAAGGAAGAAAGACATTGCTCGCCGGCATGTGAGGCATGTGAGACATGTGAAGCATGTGAACCGTCGGACGTAATCACTTCGGATTGCCACAACGCGGTTAGCTGTCATCACGCGTCATGGCCCGCGATTGTTTGCGTTGGTTGCGCTGATTGCGAGAAGTACTTCGATTGCATGTGTGATCCGATTGATGACGTGGACGTCGTGCATTGTGTTTCGACATGGCTTGATTCTGACTGCTCGCTGGACTTGACATTGTCATGTAACCAGCGTGACTCTGAGAAGTGTTCTGATTGTTGTAGCCACTGTGATTGCATTATTTCAGACGTTGCTCTGGAGGAACCATTCACGTCGTCTAGTTTTGAGATTGGTGATCAAGTTTCATGTTCGTTGATCGTTAAGCGATTGATGGATTTCTTTTGTGACGTCACAACCATGAGCATGAACATGAATTTGGAGAATTTGGAAGAGATTGGTTTCAGTGGACGTTTCTTCTTGTCCGCCCTCAGGCGATTGAGACCTACCTGTAGTGCATTGGGATCTTTGCTTGTCATGATAACGATTGTTATCGTGTTTTGCAGCCTCGTGAGTGCTCCGATCGCTTGTAGAGCACCATCATTCAGAAACGAGGATTGGTCTTACGACAGACGAGGATTCATTTCGGATTTTGGATTCGTTAAGGCTGACCCTTGGTTGAACGATTTCGGTGTTTTCGGTTTTGTTTCTGAATTGAGAGAAACCCGTGAACCTTGGGCTGATTGCATTTCCTGTATTGGTTGTTTCAAGTCATTGCCTCAGGACACCACTTCCGCCGTAGTAGGAGATTTCGTCTTCGCACAGGATCATGATTGGCCTCGAGACTCTCTACAGGAAGTTTTCTACAGATTAGCAAGAGGGCATTGGAGCATCAGTACTGAATTTTTGGAGAACACTACTGTCATTCAGGTCAGAAGCACATTGTCGTTGTCAGGCCAAAACCTCCTTGAGAGACAGGAGTCCTTGATTGAAGCTGAACGATTCCACCAAGATATGTCACATCCCTGGAATCAGGACAACATTGGTGAACTTTCCTGGATTGATTCGGAGTTCGGTTTTGATCTTTGGAGCTTGATTGAAGGTACTGCTCTGACTTTGCGACCATGTTTGAATTGCTCAGTCAGTACTGCTGATTGCTCAATAGACCCCATCATACCATTGCCCTTTTCGCCATTATTGCTTTGCAACCGATTGTCATATCTTTCGGACTCATGTGATGGATTCCAGCACATTCATGTCCATCATCACTTGTCATTCCCTTACCATTGTCAACTTCATACATCATTGGCTTCATGTCTGGATGATTGTCTGATTTCATCTGCCATTGAGTCACTGTGTCTCATGTCATCATTTTCTACGCTGACATGCAAGACTGAACTTGACAACGGTCGGATGGAAATGACACGCACGTCAATCATTGCGCACGCTCATTGCCATTGTCTGTCACAACTCATTGTAATAGATTTCATCCCAATAGAGTGCACTTTGCATGTTCTTCGCGACGGATGGTGCCGCAAACGGGACTGCAACTACGCGCACAAACAGGATGAGCTTACATTGAGCATGGGCATTGCAATCTGCGCACCACGACCAATTGTGATACGACTTCTGACGACGAACTGTATTGTCTTGTACGTCTCCATGGACATTGTTCAGGAACTACTAAGAGGATGCACTCAAGAAGCGCTATCACAGATTGATTGCACGCGTCGCCATCTCGAGCCGAGGGACCGAGAGTGTAAAGATTGTCTTGACATTCGCGTTCACGATTTCCTTTCGCATTCTCTCTTAGGAGATTTTGCTCATGTCATTGACCGTGTGCGGCTTTTCGATGTCGACCTTCATTGGAGCAGTGATGTCATTCTCTGTGACAATTGCTGTTGCGGGATTCAGGCAGATTCACCGACGTACAGCGACTGCACGCAGACCTGTCAGCTGTCAGGAGCTACATTGGAACTAAGGCTGATCAAGATGAGATTGCTGCATGCAATTTCACTCCAGCGTTGTCTTCATCACGTATTTGATCGGAGTCACATCAATCATTGCACCATAGTGTTCAACATCTGTTCTCTACTCGTGATTGCTCCGATTTCGTTGTGTGAGCACCTTATTGTGCTGCTCCACCATTCCCATTTGCCATTATCTGATTATGAGTTCGTTCGTCTTTTGACTGACATTGAGTCATTCATCTATTGTTCTCACATTTTCGTTTTGTTCTCTTTTGAGTATAACGTGGATTGCCTTTCCAACCGCACGAACAGCTCCACTCAGATTGACGAAGAGCCACTCTTGTGCTCTTTGGCATTCGTCGATTCACTTGCATTGGCATACTGTGACGCACTCTGCCATTGTTGCGGATGCACCCATGTCACTAAGGAAATCCCTGGATTGACCGAGGAACCAGTGATCAGATTCATTGGTCTTTCTCTAAGAATTGACACCATTGTGAACATGTCCTCCTGTGACAGGATTGTGAACATTCCTTCTGATGCGCAGGTGACTGACTTGGAAGCCCGGAGATTGTCTGCTGTCTGTCATTTAGTCTCAGTCATTGTTCGCCTGTCAGACTTCATTGCACACTTTACTATCATGTCACAGTTCTGGGTACTCATTGTCGCTGAGGGACCGATTCTCAGTTCTATTTCACAACTGTCCTTCTGGATGATGTCATTCCCTTCAGGACATCGTCAATCCATAACGCTCTATTGCTTTGGTCGTCATTGTCTTGAGATCCTCATCGTCTGTATTGAGTTGATCTCGACTTTGTCTGATTGAATATTGCTGAAAAGGCATCAAATCGAACAAACACTGTTTCATTGGTTTCACGATGAATTGATTCAGCTCTGATCCTTGACGTCGGGCATTCAGGTGGTACTTCCACGAGATAGCCTATTTCTCCAGTCGAACTCAGTCTGCTGCATGTTTCCATAGACTGGCAAGGACCTTACATTGGCGAGAGCCTTGGCATGTGCCACATGAGATTGAGAGGTGAGAATTTAGAGAACAGTCTCTGACTTTAGCATTTCAATTGCTTGAACTTTATCATTCCGGAGATTTTCTCGACAGGAAGATTGTCTCTTGAGCTCAGTGCCTTGCATTAAGCACTGAACCATTGATGTATTTCAATTCTGGAAATTCAGATTTGGTCAATTCGATGTGTTGCCGAACATTCATTGTTTCGAGCCTTACACGAATCAAACGTTGCTGTTTGAGCGACATTGTACATAGCTTGATTGTGAGCACAATTTGGACACGTTTTGAGATTTTAGCCCGGAGTATGTGTCTCGTGTGATTGCTTCTTGATTGTTGCTTCCGCTTGCGATCACTCTTAGATTGAGAGAAAGCATTCTCGTCACAAGTGCGATAGATTGATCTTCCAGATCTAGATTGTCGCCATGGCTGATTCTGCGATGATTGCCAGAGCGTACGATTATGCAATTGGCCAACCGCCATTGGCACCACCTCAGGTTACCCCATTGGAACAATTTCGGCAGATCACGGCCAACATTAATGAGCATACCCATTCGCCGAACCACCCAGATGCCTGGACTGCGAAATTGATTCTTGCAAGGATTCGCGAGGCGATTGCGGTGTTCTCGGCGCACCTAGCATTCATCCTATCTTCGCTCGAATTGCGTCAATGGAAAGCTTGTCTGATTGAATGCACTCAGGTGATTGATCATTTCGTCACGGAGGCATTGCAAGATGGAATTGCCAATCTTGATTGCCCGGCAGTGATGGAGATTGCAGAATTGTTGCATGATGCATTGATTGCATATGCACGTCAGGACACGAGATTCACAGGCCGCATGGCCAGCCTGGAATTGCAACTTGGATGGACCATTGGGAACAAGTTCGCAAAGACATTGATTCCCGACGGTTACTCCGTCCATTGCGGATTCGCCAATTGTATTTGGCTGAATTTGGTATCGGTTTGCAACCATTGCATTGCTGCTATGGCCCCCACGGAGATTGCAGGTGGCATCCCGGCATTTTCATTGAACCTGTCATTTCTATTGGTTGACAAGACAGTGGAGTGCTACTACGCACTGAAGGCATTGTTCACTCGTGCCATTGCTGTTACCACATTCAATTGCCGAGATTACAATTCGGTGAACGGGCTTGCGGATTGGTTCGTCTGCATTGCTCTTCCAGCATCCATTGTAGATTCGCTAATGAATGGTACAGCTACGAACATTCCGACCCCATTGGGTCAGTTGAACGCGCAGTTTTGCGCAGATGCCTCATTGCGCAGGCTCAGTCATTGGTACCGACAGGGCAAATTTACGGCCGAGCAAAGCCGTGAATTGGTGAGGATGATTGTGTTTCGCCCATCGCTGGCTATGATTGACACACGTCTGAAGTGCCCGGAAGGCACAGGAGGATTCCTCCGTTACCACAATTGTTCCTTCGTGTGCAATTCATGGTGTCTCACCATTGACAGCCAGCACGACCCGATTGAGGACAAGTATTGGTACACATTGGACGGATTGGTGAGACAATACAGCATTGTGTTGGAGCTCCCCACGATGACAGTGGAGTCATTGTCAGGATTGATTCACAATTCATGCTATGAACATTGGTACCCCAGTGAGACGGTACACCGGCATTGCACGCTGCCATTGACACATCTGCAAATTGAAGGATCCCCACAGATGTATTTATTGACTGCAGATTGTGACGAGGTTGCCGCCGAAGAGATTGCCTCGAGTGGAACGGTCTCGAGCACTACCTCATTGTCGTCCTCCATGACGAGCCAGGAGTACGACATTGTGGTTGCGGCAGCAGCTGCGATTACCAAGAAAAGGAAAGGTCATTGAAGCCTGAAGATTGACCACTCACCATTATCGAAGACCCTACAACAGTGGATTGGTCTCAGAGTATTGTGGAGAGTCATGCACATCTCAATGACATTGATTTTGATTTTGATTCCTTCTCTGCCTCGATTTCGCTGGAAATTGCCACACGTTGCTTGGATTGAGCACCAGATATTTCCGGATGGAGAGATTGTTGACAACTGAAAGCCTACTCTATCTGTTGCGGTGATTGCGATGAACCGATGGAGACATTGTTTCCTGGATGACGATTGCACATCGTAGCGGATTTGAGGACTGCCTGAGATTGTTCAACAGTGAGCGCAAAAGGACTTGTATTGCATTTGAGATTGTGATACAGCTGTGTGCTGCATCACTCTGCTGGTAGATGCATTGCCTTATTGATTCCAGTCATGTGTTTCTGGTTACGATTCTTGTTCGATTTGAAGTACCTCATAATTGCAGAACCAATAATTGAGCGGAGATTGTACAGCTGTGGTTGCTGACATACATGTCACAACCAAGGGACCGTGTTAGATTGCATGGTCAATTCTCCAGCTCATATTGGCTACGGACACATCAATGCCTGAACCATGGCATTGGCTCAAGACTGGCTCATTGGATCCAGACAAAAGTCTGAAGACCGAGTGATTGCATTCTGAAGCAGATTGAGATTTTCTGTTGATTGTTGTTTGCTGATTTATTCCATACTCCTGGCGCATCTCGAAACGATCACGGAATTTTTCATTCAATGTTAGATTGCATGGTCAATTCTCCAGCTCATATTGGCTACGGACACATCAATGCCTGAACCATGGCATTGGCTCAAGACTGGCTCATTGGATCCTGACAAAAGTCTGAGACCGAGTGATTGCATTCTGGAGTGGATTGAGATTTTCTGCTGGTGATTGTTTGCCCTTGTGATTGCACACTCCCGGTGATACCCGAAACGACCACGGAATTTTTCATGGTAGCGGAGCCCTGCGGCGAAACCCAGGGCACTGATTGACTTCAGAGGAATCGGTAGAGATGAGCATTGAGCTCGGTAGTGCGGAAAAGAAAATGCGATTGGAACCACCTGCACCATTCGCAGGAGATCAGGACAGCTGGGAAGATTGGAACTGGCAGCTGAGAGTCTATGTAAAGATCCATTGTCCAGTGGCACTGTCTATTCTGGACACTGCGTTGACATTGGAGATTTCAGTAGGTGATTCATTCATCAGTTCGTTTTCTAGTCAAAATTTCCCTCAGGAGAGATCGCTTGAATTTTCCAGTGAGTTGCATTATCTCCTTGTGAAGATTACGAAAGGATATGCAGGAAGTATTGTTCGCACGTGCAGGAATGAGAATGGATTTGAGGCATGGAGATTGCTGCATGAGAGATTCTGGATTTCCGACAGGACCAAAGGCATGGAAACATTGAGCCAGATTTTTCACCATCGATTTAGGAAGGATTTCTTCGAAGAAGATTTCATGAGTTTCATTGTTCTGAGAAAGAGGTACGAAGAGACTGGTGGAAGAGCATTGAGTGAAGATGTTCTTGTGGCGTTGCTCATAAGCAAGACCGACGAGGCATTGTCAGGCTTTCTTCGGCTGCATCAGGACGCATTGGGAACATTCGATCAGGTCGTTGACTCAGTCAAGAGATATTGCAGATTCTGCCGATCTACCTCCGGAAGATTGATTCAGCCGGCATCTCAGCATCAGTTGATGCGAATGATTGTCAGTGAGCGCGAAATGAGAGATTCTGAGAGAAAGAAGAATATTGGAAGATTGCAAGAAGGAGAAGTTCGAGGCCTTACTACGCGGACATTGGAATACATATCCCACCTTGTTGAAGAGTCGGAGTTGATTGAACACAAAGGAAAAGCAGAAGAAAAGGAGACGAAAAGCAACGAGAAAAAGGATTTCAAGGAGACTGCCCACATTGAGAAAGCACAGGAAGTTGGAAAAGAAAAGGAAGACGCGGCGTTGCATGAAGAAGAAAATGAGGAGCACGAGAGGAAGGAATATGTTCAATTGGGAGATGAAGAGGATTGCTACAGTCAAGGAATCAAAGGAAAAGAGGATCATCGAGATTGGTTGTCAGATGAAGGTTCAACTGATTGTTCCGTCGAGGACACCCGGTATTGCAACTTGGAACCAGAGAAAGAAAGGAGTGAGAAAGAAGAGAAGAAAGAAGCGAAGGAAGAGATTGAGAAAGAAGAGAACAGTTGCTTGTTCGAAGATGAAGCATTGGACAGTGAGTTGTCGACATTGGCAGTGATGGAGTTGTCTGATTTAGACTTCTTGTCAGATTGTACAGTTTCGCAAGATTCCAATTGCGCATGTGATCCGATTGAAGACATTCGCGTTAAGCATTGCTTGTTGCCGTGGATCGATTACGAATGCGATTGCGACATGGAGCGTCTTTGTGTTCATGGATTCTTCGGTTGCGATTGTGAGAGTGACTCTGTCAGTTTGGATTCAGACACGCCAGGCAATTGTCTTGATTGCAGTTCACACTCGGATACACAAGTTTCACAAGTTTCATTCGTTAAGCGATTGAGATCACAGGAACCCGCGGATCATGTAGTATCACTTGAAGAGATTGGGTACATTGCCACACATCCCGTCTCGTTGATTTCGTTTAGGAATTGTTTCAGAATTTGTTTGACTGCCATGACGACATTGCTCGTCACAGTGACCATCTCGATCATTGTGTTTTATGAGCATTTGAGTGCTCCAGAGAACTGTAGAGCACCATTGCATGAAGATTGGATTCAGGATTGCGTTGGACGAGACCACTGCTTTAGAAATTTCAAGAAGGATTCAGAGATTGACGGTTCACTTGATTTCAGACATTGCGGTTTCGATTGTTTACAAGATCGTTTGTTTGATTCTACTAACGATTGTGTTTTAAGACAAGACTTCTTGATCTCAGATCAACATCGCCGTGTTTGGTGGATTGAGTCGGATGATCATTCTGCCGCATTGAGACAGGAGCATTGGAGTAATGGCAGTGAGCACATTGCCATCGGTTGGAACACTGACTCGGAACATTTGTCCAGTACCGAATTTGAGACTCTGAAGATTGGATGTAAGTCCAAGCTATATCCGTGTAAGTTTGAGTTTGATTGCAGGTCGGATCCTGATCTTCGGAAGTTGGAGCTTGATCGTGATATTGACTTCAAGCGTCTGGCTATTGGACACACGATTGTGGAGAGACCAGTGAGTTTCAATTGTTTCTGCAATGTCAGTCATCCCATTGACTATTTGCCCAGGATTGAGCTTCTGGAATTTCGGAGCTTGATTGGCTTCGGTGCATTGCACTCTGCATTGTCATTTGATAACTATTGCTGTTGCGAATGCTCTAGATCATTGAATGCCTCCTTGTTCTACTTTCGGCTTCTTCGTGTCTATGGATTTTTTGTTCATTTGCATCAGATTGATGGATTTGCTCATTCATTCACACAGCACGTTGATCGACTCGTTCAATCACGTGTCCACCATCATTGTTGGTTTCCTAACTCTGATCAGCTCATTATCTCATTGGCTCTGCGTTATGACTATTGCCTATTCAGCATTCGATTTTCATTTTTGTCACCATCATTGTTTGGGTCGCTTTGCGAAAAGCAGCACCCTGACGAAGGCTGGCAGAAACTCGAACGAGGCACCGTCATTGAGCACGCGCGTAGCTATTGCCTGTCACGACTCATTGTAATAGATCTTATCCCAATAGATTGCATGTACTGCGTGAATCCCGCTTCTTGGAAAGCAGCGAAACATGCAGTCCAGCAAGTTGCGGATCAGCGCACATTGAGCACGGGCATTGCAATCTGCTTTACATCAGACATTGTAATAGATTCGACCATAATAGATTGCACTTACGCTTTTTACTGCAAAAAAGGCGACATGGTGCCAATTCGCACATGGCCCCGAATCGATTGCACTGTTGATGGTTGCCTTGATCTGTTTTTACGATTGATTCACGATTGTACCGTTTTTAAGGTTTCCCTGAACTTGGTTCAAAAACTACTGAAAACGGCACTAGAGGATCATTGTCACAGATTGATTGCATGCGTCGCCATCTCGAGCCGAGGGACCGAACATACGATTGACATGACATTCGCGACATGTCCCAACATTGCGTTTCTTTTCACTTCGCGTAACATTGACATCGACTTTGACGCGTTTTCGCACTCTTCGGATGATTCCGCTCATGTCACTGACAGATTGCGGCTTTTCGATGTCGACTACCATTATGTGCACTTACTCTGGATTGTGCATGGTAGAAGCATTGCTGCTGTTTTGTGTCATGGACGTCTGCATTACGTCAGAGGTTATGTTACTTTTGCGACATTGAGTGCTGATCGTTATTGTTACTTTCTCCACTGCAAAGGGAATTTCTCTGTTCAACTGCATTGCATCATCCAGCACAAGGATTGCTGCATTGATCTTTGTGTTGACTGTTACACATTGAAGAAGTACACTATTCCTCGCTCACATTCCACGACTTTTGAAGAACGGCATTCTCTGCCAAGATTGCCATATTGGTGTAGTTGTTCACAGCGATGTGAAGACCGTCATTTAGCTGATTGCGCGACTGATCACGACTCGCATTTCGCGTCTTTTGAGAAGCGTCACTTGATTTCGAACCGATTGCACTGCACGAGAGTGACTGAGAGAAATTCTGAGTGCAGAGAGGATTGTGAGATCCTGACTGAGTGCTGCTGCATTGGCTTGATCATGAAGATTCCCAGGATTGTCGTGAACCCGAGGGACCGAGATTACGACTGTGATCTTGAAGATTCATTGGAACTAAGGTCTGCCATTCTGTTGAGATCACTACATACGATCTCACTTCAGCATCGCACTTATCAGAACATTGATCTTGTGCATTTCAAATCCACGTGTTCATTCTCTGTCATTCCTTGTGTTTTCTGTATTGTCTCGACATCGTTGTGTGAGCACCCTTTGGTGTTGCTCCATCAGCTTGCTTTGCCATCTTTGATTCCTAATTGTTT